AATTTAAATTTAATCAACAAACTAACAGCCCTTTGCTTTTATAAATCAGGCCTTTTTATTAACTTGGCTGATTGCTCTTAGCCCTCGAGCATTCTGTTCCGCAGCGCATTGATTTTAGCCGAACAGTTGTTACTGCCGATGCCCATGAACACCTTTTGAAAGATTTCACAGGTGTACCTTAGTACGTTATGTACCTCATGCGTTGCATGATTGGTTTATTAACGTTAGCTCCAAAAAGATGACAATTGTCTAAAAAGGTCGTCTAACGGCACTGTTTCCTAATTCGTGCAGTATTTAGCTAACGTTTCAATAAAAATATTGATACAAATTATGATATATTGTTTTCAGGTGGTGTTAAACTAAAATTGACTTCTTACTATTTTAACATTGATTATATACATTGAGCATTGCCTTTTAACAGAGTCAGTAAAAGGAGCTAACATCAGTGAATATTATTGGAAAATGGTTTGTCATGATTTGCTCATTTAGTTGATAAATTATTTATGAGCTGAAAATCACACACTCAGCAATAGAGAAACTATAAAATGCCACGTCCATAGTTTAACGTTAGCTATTTTAAGCCAACTAATTTTAGCTTACTACTAATGGCCATAAACAATAGCTTTTTACGTCACTTAAAACTACTGCAGCAAGGTATATGTGTAGAATTTATCACGTTTTCCTATTCAAGATTTAATTTAACAAACATTTGAATACAAGCAGGATAAAACATTGTTCTTACCTTGGCAGCTCCTGATCCAAAATGGAGTATTCTTGTGTCACTAGGCTCAGACGTTGGTGGCTGTGTGGGGTTACCTACGCACTTTTGCAGGGGCCCCACATCTATACAGTAGAGTCAACTGCGAAATCTGTGTTGCTCACACTATTAGACTTTTATTTCTAAGTTGATCACCACTGAACTTGATATTTCAAGTACATCCAACTTTTTTGTCTGACTTAATGAGTGTTGGTGCTTCTGCTGTGACGACTGTCAGCAGCGGACTAAATCCACTTGGTGTTTTCTGGTGAGTATTCGGTGCAGCAGGACGTGTGTGTGTGTGTGTGCGCTCGCGGGTAAAAGTGTACAAAATGTTCATGTTAATAAAAGGAACACGTCACCTGGTGTGTTTTAACTATAAATACGGCGTTCTGTGGCAGAGGGCAAGAAGATGCAACACGATCGATACAAACACACCAACGTTCTATGAACAGATTGCATCTCAAATCACTGGAAAGCGGCAGTCAAACTGTTTCAATAGAATCTTCAGTCCACACCAACGGCGTGCATAAATACAAACAGATATAAGATACGCGACTAACACATCTCACGGGCCTCGGAGTTGGGATTTCACGCCCATTTGCTTACCGATGAATTCAGATTTCACTGTCAATTAAACGGGTAACAACGAGATGTTAGATTACCACTGAACAGCCTTGTTGGAGCGCACACACCGTGACACAACCTAGTAATCAATAGCTGTGTGTCAAGTTGAACAACCGTGGCCACATTTCTAGACTAAACATACAAAGAAGATTTACTTTCATCTCAATGAGAAACACACCCGGTGCATCTTCAGCAACCTCTGGGTTCAGGAGAGTTTCTGGAGGAGGAGGACGGGCTTGTTTACGGACGTGGGCGTTTGGAAGCTGGACCCAAACTCCACTGTTTGTTCCTAATCCTCACGCACGTGTCGTAAAACGTGAGGGCTTACAAAAGAGGCAAGTTTACACATTGAACCTTTGACACATTTTAGGTATTGTCTGCTGAAGTTAAAGATTACGATGAGAACGGCGTAAGGAGGGTCGATAACAGACATTATCGCAGCTGACTACTGCGGCTAAAAGATTAATCCAACCCTTTACCCTCATCCTCAAACGCCACCCAGCTGAACACCTGTTTCATCGATAATTGAAAAGCGCTTCCGCTCATAAACGTGGCCTTTATCAGCACCACTTTCTCCCGAGTGCCTAGAAGGCATTGCACGTGTGTTGCCGGGAAAAGAAAAAGCACTCCTGTATACAGAGATGTCTGCCGACCTCCGGCTTCCACCGCGCTCAAAGGGTGATCGAGCACGTAGATGTCTGAGTCCTCGTTCACAGGCCTCTGGACTGCCGGTTGTGAGCGGCAGCTGGAATACTCTCATTCGCACACACATAGACACACGCACACACACAGACACACACACACACACACACACATACACACACACACACACACACACACACACACACACACACACACTACTGTTCCAATGGGAATTCTATTGTTCCCTTTTCTCCTCACTGTTCTCTTGAGGCGGCCCTTTGATCATCAGTAGCTGGACTACTCCCCTTCCAAAAATGTAAAACACAACTTGTGCCACGACTTTATTGCAAAGTTGGTTGCGCCACTAGTGTTGCCACCAGAGGCCCCACGACAGCGACATACCGGGACACCATCCGAATCTTACAAAATACCACAATATGAATTTATACACCGTTCTAATTTTCCCTAAATTGAAATGCAGGTATGCCAAATTCTGGCCATAATCTTTTATAAATAACAAATATCTGCACTATCTTTATGAACTATAATAATTTACATCAGACAGTAAAGGAAAAAAATGTTCTTGCAAGATTCATATTTATATATTTTTTGTAACTAACATTCACGTAAAGCAATTTAGTGTTAGACTGAACGCACTTTTAAGCCTGGTTTATGCTTCTGCGTTTTCAGAGCGACGCAGACGCAAGCCCCCCTTGCGTGTCCCCTGCGTGCCTTTTCACACCTCCTTGCGTCCTCGCGTGCGTCGAGCCGTTTTTCTAGGCTTGCGTCGAAAGCCTCCTGCAGCGCACCAGGCTGCGATTGGTCCGCTAACTACGTCCTTTACGGAGTCTCACGTTTCCGCTTTCATAGCCCGATACCGCCATTATTAAAACGAAGAATGTTTACAAGAGAACAGATCAGATTTAAGAACTTTTCTCAGAAGAAATGCGTAAATATGACCGCTTATACAAGCCGTCAAGCGTCAGCGATGAAAAGCAGCAGAGGCGATGCACGGGGCAATAGTCTATGATAAATAAATAAACAAATAGACGGGACTCTCTAGGTCGTCTTCAACAGAAACACGTTATTGTTGTTCTGCCGGTGAATTGCTCTGCAACACACGCAGAACCATGAATTGAAACGAGTGCGTCGACGCAGACGCATGCGCCAGCCTTAACTCACATTTATAGTCGGGGCCGGCTCAGGGCGGCCTTGGACCAGCCCCTACAAATGCTGCTACACCCGCTACATAAGCACGCAGAGTAAAAGCTGCTCCTTTACCTCGCCAGGTTGACGCGAGCTTTCTGCCCCCCGCTGAGTGTAGCGCCTCTGTCCCCGATGAGAGTGAGGTCTCCGTCCGGGAGGAGCTCCAGGTCCTGCACACATACAACTACATTCATGTGGGACCACAACCGCCAGAAGAGAAGAGTCATCACAAGAAAATGGACAGCAGACTTTCTAAATATTTTCAGCTATGCTAGTTGATCCTCAAACGGTTTTGTGGAAGTGGGCAGAGCCTGACGAGCTAATGCGGCTAGTAAGGCCGCCACAGAAGTTAGTCAAACCTTTAAAATGACAGATTATACTTTACAGCACAATCAAAGGGCGGTGACCGGTTAGTACGGTGTTTCAGATGCCTGTAATTCAGACAGTTACACGAGATAAAACGCATTACAGCAGAGCAGAAGTTTGGAGGGTCAAAGAGTTTTCATGAGAGCCTTTCATATCCGTCACTCACAGGATCTCTTCCCATGAGCCTGGTTTGGATGATATAATGATAATTCTTGCTTCAAACAAATCAGTTCTCTCAAAAATATATAATACACACACCAACATGACTATATAAAGTCATGTCATGTTGGTGTGTAAATGCTCTTAGCGTAAAGAAGTGATGCCAAACATTTGCTCGTGCCAGGTTCTTAAATGGGACATATCAAAATATAAAACTCATTACAGCATTTGTGCACACGCATTAGGAGTTCCCATAAACTGACTGGGTTGTCTTCAGCTTGTGAGCAGTACAGATCAGACATGTCTGAACAGGCCCTAGTTCCTCTTCCAAAATAACGTGGAAGTTAATCAAAATACACACACACAGCCATAAAGATCCATTTAAAAGATAACGATGTGTGTTTGCTCTGTGTCAGAGGAGACGTTGTATTTGGACAGTCAGGATTCGTTTATGCCCAGTAATAAGTGCACCGGTGACTCATTAACTGCTCACCTTTCCTCCTGCCAGGTTTCACAGACTGCAGGTTAACTGCAATCGTAGTTCAACCTCTGGCCCAGTGAATCCTTGAGAAATCTAATCACCCGAAACCAGGCTGCCTCGGGGCAACATTTCTAACGGCTCTGTGTAAAACACTGCTGGGAGATACAAATGGCACATCTACATATCATGTTTTGCATTAGCAGACTTTAAAGTCTCTCAAACATATGCTTTGGGTTTACGATTTCAGTGATGAGGCGGGCTAAACAAGCACTAGGTCTTAAGAGAAGTGTTCTTTCATGGAGAAAAGTATTGCGTTGCCATTTACAACCCTCCCCCCTACACAGTTTGTGACATTATCTGAAGAAGGAGCCGCTCTAACACCTCCCTTCAAGTCCCCGGTAAAATCCAAAGGGCTTTTTGGAGGAGAAAGGTGCAACCGGAAGAAGTAAATAAAATGTCAAAAGTGTATTGAAGGCTAGAAAATATTACTTTTTAATATCTACAATGAATGCATGTCACAGTAAATATGGCGCTCGGTTATTGCTGGTACTATTACATAACGATTGGTTGTTCACAGCTGTGTGTTCAGAGTCGCAACGTTGGGGGCAGAGAGGTGAGATACATCAAAGAGACAGCTGTGAACAAGAGAAGGTTCTGTTCTGCCATTACAGGTTATCATGTAATGAGTCAATCTGTTATCTACTTTAACAAGTACTCTGTGTGCTTCATGTAATCCGAGGTAGCCATTCAATGACCACTCACCCTTTTTAAAGCGCAGGCTTTGATGACTCGCTCGTACTTCTTGGGGTCGAGCTCCTTCCCGAACAGGATGTTACTCCGTATGGTTCCAGGGAACACCCAAGGCTGCTGTGCGGCGTACGTCAGCTGCCCTTTGACCTCCAGCACCCCCTTATCCGAGGGCAGCTCTCCGAGGATGGTGCTCAGCAGCGATGACTGGACCGACGTAACGGCAAGGAGGGGAAAAAAAAGGTGAGACTTTGGAAAGTGTACACAAGCGCCCTGGGAAGATTTCTCATTCCAGTTTTCCAGGTGTGAAATGACGCGGCGAGTTCGAAGATATCCGACCTTTCCCGCTCCCACCGGTCCAATCACAGCCAACAACTGGTTGGACTTGAGCGTGAGGGAGAGGTTCTGCAGGGTTGGGGCATCCAGACTCTACAGAGGTTCAAAAACAAACAAACAAACATTAAAGCACAAATTTCAACCAACCATCATCAACTGCCATCTGTGGAAATAACATTTAGATTTTTGAAGAGAAATAATCCATCCATCCATTGTCAAACCACTTATCCTGCACAGGGTCGCAGGGGGCTGGAGTCCATCCCAGCCAACTTCGGGCGATAGACAGGGTACATCCTGGATTGGTCGCCAGCCAATCGCAGGGCTACACAGAGACATACAACCATTCACACTCACACAGCTACAGGCAATTTAAAGTCCCCAGAGCACGTCTTTGGACTGTGGGAGGAAGCCGGAGTACCCGGAGAGAACCCACACAGACACGGGGAGAACATACAGACTCCGCACAGAAAGGCCACTGGGCAGAGTCGAACCCAGGACCTTCTTGCTGTGAGGCGACAGTGCTAACCACCACGCCACCAAAGAGAAATAATATCTATTTTAATTATTGTTTGTGCTGTACAAGATGAATCACATTTGTTTGCATTTCAGAGTAGGATTGGGCCGATCCTATTAACCCACCCACGTCATTGAAAAGTATGTTTTCTTAAAATAGCCAAAACTGCAATGTTCAATGTATCACTGCCAGAAGCTTTAATAAAATTTTGTAAAAATCATTAATGGCCAGATTTTTCATCTTCTCAAATAGTCCTTCAACGCACTATATGTGACATATGTACTAAAAACAAACCAGTGTAATTGTTATAATTCCTTGAAAAGCGTTTTGTTAATGACAACGACCAAACAGACATAAGCCTTGTGTAAACTACTACTGCATACTATGAAGACACGCGTTTCATCTAGTGAAGTAGCTCTAGATGTCTGACCTTGTCCCAGTAGCACACCAGGTCCTGGATCTCCACTAAGGCCTCATTCTCTCCCTTGTGTGGCACAATGGTTTTGTTTTTTACAACCTCATCCAGCATCAGGAACTCCTTGATCATAAAAAACAACAAACAGAATAGAGTCAGTCCCAAAATGGTCAGGCTTAAAGAGGTATTGTGTTGCAACGGGCGGGTAACTCATTAGCTAGTGGGCAAGTTCATCTGGTTTAAAATTACATGTCAAGCTAACCCTATTTATTTTTTTGTAGGAACACTGATTTTGTTTGTTTGGACAGCAGCAATGGGACTAAATAATAGACTGGAAGCCTGAACTGAGTTTTAGAAAACTGCAGCACCACGTGGACAAGCAGAGACCTGAGAGGCCATGCTTATGAGACCAACATAATATGCATTAGGGGTGTCGGGCATTTGCATCCATTTAAAAGGTTAAAATATGAAATTAAAAGCCCATCACACCTGAATTCTGCGGACGCTGACTCGGCTCTCAAACAGCTTCTCGATGGCACTCGGGAAGAAGAGCGTGACGGTGAGGCGCACGGCGCTGTAGAGCGACACCGTCACGAACACGCGGCTGGCGGTGATGGTGTTCCCCAGGAGGACGTAGAGGGTGAAGGTGACAAAGAGGATGATCTTGCTGGAGCAGAAGAAGGAGGCCATGTTGAGGCCTCGCAGGTAGGAGCTCTTCAAGATCATGGAGATCTCCTTCCTGAGAGGGCACAGAGGATTCCAACAATCACTGATGGGGAAGAAGGTTGCACGTAGCGCTGCAACATTAAAATCGACTATTAAAAGAGCTGGCAACACATTTAATTATTGAATTGTTGGGTCACGTAATTATTACGCCACTCAATAAGTTGCAGAGATGTTGGAGTATAAAAAAAAAAATGCTAATAGCAAGATATGCTAAAGCGTCATGGCACCACGTGATGATTCAGGACCTAACACGTAAACATGTTGAGTCCTGGATGAGGAGGAAGGGAGTTCCTCATCAGAGAAAGTCACTACAGGATCCGACTTTGGTTCCGACGTGAGGAACGTAACGAGCCTCCAGCAGCTCCTCTGCTGCCGTTTACTCCTTATCCATTCAGACGGGCGACCGCAATTCTGAAGACACGTTTTTATTCACTCATTTTTGATCGGTTGTCATGTATATACTGTGCTTAGTCCCAAACTGGTTATTGTTGACAAAGATATTTGCCTGTGTTGTACTTGTAGTTATTTTATAGCCCTTGGTGTGTTTAAATGGTGTATAAATGAACTTGCACTTGCTACACTGGTGGTGCGTCTGTATGAGTGTAGAGAACAAGTTGTGACGTTTAATTTTCTGATTCGATTTTTTTTTTTAATATTTATATATTTATATATAATTTATTTTTCTGGCAGCTTAGGTACCTTCAAACAGAAATGTACATCTTTTTGTGCACTTCTTAAAAAAACTATATATTTGGAAGATGTAAAGCATACATGTGTATCTTTTTTGTGTCCATTTCATTATTACTTTAACAGTTCAGGAATGTCCAAGGATTATAAAAACTGAATGTGCCAAATAAACTAGTTTTACACTAGGGAGTCGCCTCAAAATGTACAGGCACAAACACTACAATCCAAAACACAAAATGTTTAACAAATAAGAACAACGTGTCCAAACAGGATCGCACAGACTAAATCTTTACTAGGTAGTGGCTGAATCTAATCGGGACATGCATTACGATGGCAAGACCACTAAATTAACTGTCAGTTTCTTGTACCTTTAATTCAGGAATAGCAAGTAGCATTACAATTTATTTTAAGTGGATGTTCCCTTCTAAAACGGTGGGTTGTTACTTAATATCATATCAAATTAAAACTGGACTGTAAATACTACATATGCAGTAAGAAGAAAAACCAGAAGACGACTACTTTGAACAAATTGAACAGGTTTGACTGGTGAGGCAGGGCCTTTTCCAACACGTCATTTGGCCTATAATATATCAGAAAACCCTGGCGTCTTTTACCTTCGGACCTCAGAGACCAGAGCGGAGAAGGGCTTCTCCCAGGCGTACATCTTGATGATGCGCATTCCGGACACCACCTCGTTCATGATGCGGATTCTGTTGTCAGTGAAGGCCGCAGTCTTACTCCTGTGGGGGGAAGCAGAAACTCGACGTGTGATTAAATGCTGCTGGAGAAAAAAAGCAAAAGAACCGCTTGAAACTTTCAAAGACGGGATTGTGTGCAACTTTTTATATCTACACAACTACAATTACAACAAATGATATTTCCACTTACAGCCATTAAAAATAACTCAAATTAGGTTTGATCAATGACACTACAGTGACTGAGCACTTCCTTATTAACTGATATTGTATATCACTGTTATTATGCACTTGCTGTTCATGCAGGCAAATTGCAAGTCTCAGCATGACTGAATGTGTGTGTGTGTTACCTGAATGTGGAGAAGAGCCTTCCGAACATGGTCTGCATAGGCATGAGGAACAAGAGGACCACCATGCCCGCCAAACACGAGGGGCCAATCTCCACCCACAGCAGGCCCACAACCACCGCTGCCTGGAGGGGCCCCACCCACAGGAAGTGCAGGAAGATAGTCACCTGTGGTGGAAAACCCAGAGTGAGAGAAGAAAAGAACCTATATGCCCTCAGGTGCTGATTGAATAGCTGCCTCCGATGCCTCTGACTCACAACCAAAAAACAGATGAAACACTCCAACGGCCTCGAGGCAGAGACAGAAAAGGCAGTTTAGCAAATACAGTCCAGCTGTGAGACTGTGACCACAAACAAAACGTTACAAGCAGACTTCGTTCGGCGCTCTAATCGGGTTATCGAGTTTTTCTCATGCAAATGTGACCTCATGAAAGAGGAAGTTGCATGTGAAACCCTCCTGCTTTCCTTCATCGTAAAATATTAGAAACGGTTCATGTAATATATATATATGTTCTTAAACATGACCTGCCACAAGGTACATGAATAATATTAAAAAATCTGACTGCTGGACCTTCTGAGTTGCTCACTACATTCCACATACGTCATCAAACTTGTTGACGTCGTTGGAAAGGAGGTTGACGATCTGGCCCGTGGTGGTCTTCCCCATGGCCAAACTGCTGAGACGCAGAGACTGGAAGAAAATAAAGAACCATCATCAGTGAAGAATCACTCACTCATTTTAAATGTGCCGAAAGCCCCTTCATTCTACCGGAGCCAAGTACAGCACTGAAAATCCATACTTTACATTTACTTTAAGAAGCACGGGCGAGCTTTCCCCACTCACTGACCTTGTTGTAGATCATGTGACACATGGCCACTCGGATCTTCATGCCTGCCCTCTGGACGTGGTAGAAGTAGAGGTGGTGGAGCAAGGCCAGCCCGATGGTGCACAAAGACATGCCGGCCGCGTAGCCAAGAGTCTTGTAGAGAGCCGTCATGTTCTCCGGGTCGTAACTCTCAAAGTACAAGATCATCTGGCCCAAGAGGACTGGCTGGATCACTTTGATTATCTCCTGATAATTTAAATCGACAATTAACAGCATGTTCTTTGGCTGCTGAGCAGAGACTAAGTCTACCGTTATAAATCAAGACACGTCAATATATGTGGGGTTAAATATGCTGCCAATAATGCAAAATGATTACTGCGGACCATATGAACAGTTTGGTATATTTGGTCTGATTTCTAATCCTTTTAAAGCTGGATGTGTCTGAATCTACATCAGACACCCAAAACACCTCTTTCCCAAAGGCTGAGATCACTTACTTCGACGAGCGTGAAGAATCCCAGCACGGCGTAAGGCTTCCAGTAGCACAGAATGATGCACTTTGAGAGTCGAGGCGTGCGCAGCTCTTTGGTGGCCTTCTGGAACTCATGATCCCAGATTCTGCCATGAAAAGACGCCATGTTAATTCAACTAGTTTATTTTTTTGCATCATAGGAGTCTTGATTAGTCAGGACAGGGCAACAAAGTCTCACTTAATAACACTAATTAATATATATATCTTCTCTGCTTCTATCTCTGCTGCCAGAATTGAATCTTCATTTTCTAACCCCAAAAAACTCTTTCTGATCTTGTCCAACCTCCTCGAACCCCCTAGTCATCCTCCACCCTTCTTCCGGGAGACTCAAGTACTTTACCAAGAAAATGGCTGACATACGCGGACATCAACAATGCGCTGTTATCTGGCTGTTTTCCCAATTCTCTGAAGGAGGCAAGAGTTAAGCCTCTCCTTAAGAAAACCACTACTGACCGATCTCTTCTTCGCTTTTTATCCAAAACCCTTGAACGTGCGATCTTTAACCAACTCTCCTCCTATCTCCACCGTAACAACCTCCTTGACCCCCACCAGTCAGGCTTCAAGGCAGGCCATTCCACAGAGGCTGCTCTCCTTGCTGTCCTAGAGCAACTCCACACTGCTAGAGCCTCCTCGCTCCTCATTCCTCTGGACCTCTCTGCTGCATTCGACACAGTCAACCACCAAATCCTTATTTCCTCCCTTCAGGAACTTGTCTCAGGCTCTGCTCTCTCCCTTCTCTCGGCCTACCGCGACGGCCGCACCTACCGGGTAACCTGGCGAGGAGCTGCGTCGGAACCTTGTCCTCTTACTACTGGAGTTCCTCAGGGGTCCGTCTGGTTCCCCTCCTCTTCTCGCTCTACACCAACTCTCTCTGCGAATCTCCGACCAAGGACTTGGCGGTAAACGGCAACTCGGTACGTCCACTTTGACTGCTAGGAACCTCGGCGTCACACTCGACAGCCAACTCTCCCTGACTCCCAACATCACTGCGGCAACACGATCCTGTAGATACACGCTCTACAACATCAGGAGAATACGTCCTCTTCTCACTCAGAAGGCAGCGCAGATACTGATTCAGGCTCTTGTCATCTCACGCCTGGACTACTGCAACTCTCTCCTGGAAGGTCTCCTGCTACCGCCATTCGACCTCTGCAGCTCATCCAGAATGCAGCAGCTCGACTGGTCTTTAACCTTCCTAAATTCTCCCACACTCCTCCACCCTCTTCACTGGCCCACATCCAGTTCAAAACATTGGTGCTCACGTACCGTGCTGTGAATGGATCAGGTCCAGCTTAAATCCAGGACCTGGTCAAACCCGACATCCCGACCCGCACTCTCCGCTCTGCATCTGATAAACTGCTTGTTCCTACTCACGGAGAGCAAAACACTCGACTAGATCACCACTCTTTGTTGCTCCTAAATGGTGGAAGGAGGTCTCTGAAGACACCAGGACCACAGAGAGCCTTCACATCTTCAAACTAAAGACACACCTCTTCAGACTCTACCTCCACTAAAAGACTAACAAATTGTAGCACTTAAGTGGCATTATAAGTACAATATATATATAGCAAATTGGCTTATTTGAGGAAATTGCAACTTCTTCTTTCTTGCTCTTCTGAGTTTGTATCCCTGTGGTTGAATGCACTTATTGAAAGTCGCTTTGGATAAAAGCGTCAGCTAATTGACATGTAATAAATAAACAGACATTGATATATATATATATATATATATATATATATATATATATATAAAATCAAACAGACTGGATGCAGATATGAAAGGTCAAACATTATAGTTCATGAACAGTTTGACTATTGGTGCTTCTGCTGGGACGACTTTCAGCAGCGGACTAAATCCACTTGGTGTTCTGGTGAGTATTCAGTGCAGGACGTGTGTGTGTGTGTGTGTGTGTGTGCGGGTAAAAGTGTACAAAATGTTCATGTTAATAAAAGGAACAAGTTATCTGGCGCGTTTTAACTATAAATACGGCGTTCTGTGGCAGAGGGGAAGAAGATGCAACACGCGTCGATACAAACACACCAATGTTCTATGAACAGATTGCATCTCAAATCACTGGAAAGCGGCAGTCAAACTGTTTGAATAGAATCTTCAGTCCACACCAACGGCGTGCATAAATACAAACAGATATAAGATACGCGACTAACACATCTCACGGGCCTCGGAGTTGGGATTTCACGCCCATTTGCTTACCGATGAATTCAGATTTCACTGTCAATTAAACGGGTAACAACGAGATGTTAGATTACCACTGAACAGCCTTGTTGGAGCGCACACACCGTGACACAACCTAGTAATCAATAGCTGTGTGTCAAGTTGAACAACCGTGGCCACATTTCTAGACTAAACATACAAAGAAGATTTACTTTCATCTCAATGAGAAACACACCCGGTGCATCTTCAGCAACCTCTGGGTTCAGGAGAGTTTCTGGAGGAGGACGACGGGCTTGTTTACCGACGTGGGCGTTTGGAAGCTGGACCCAAACTCCACGGTTTGTTCCTAATCCTCACGCACGTGTCGTAAAACGTGAGGGCTTACAAAAGAGGTGAGGTTACACATTGAACCTTTGACCCATTTTAGGTATTGTCTGCTGAAGTTAAAGATTACGATGAGAACGGCGTAAGGCGGGTCTCTGATAATGTTGGAAATGTTTGACTTGGGGTCGGTGACAGACATTATCGCAGCTGACTACTGCGGATAAAAGATTAATCCAACTGGCATCGCAATAGTGCGCAATTTTCCAAAATCCCAGATGTGCTTAAAAAGCCACAGCACACACACATCTGCACAACGCTCCACTCTCACGAGATTTTATAACCTGTTTTATTTATTCTCAGTTATCGAATAACAAGAACCAAAGTTGTCGTGTTTGATCTATGGTTAAATCTGGAGTTTGACCCGCATCCTCAAACACCACCCAGCTGAACACCTGTTTCATCGATAATTGAAAAGCGCTTCCGCTCATAAACGTGGCCTTTATCAGCACCACTTTCTCCCGAGTGCCCAGAAGGCATTGCACGTGTGTTGCATAATGAAGATAAATAATCCTTGGTTGATCCTGAGGGTCTAGCTAATGTGTAAACAGCGTACAGGGTAAATATTGAAAGATTATATGTACAATATAAATGTTCTACTAGTTTGGTTATGTGGTCGCTACATAACCAAAGTGGTGGTACCTTTAATCCAAAACATCTGGAATTCAACATCAACACTTTAAAAATGTTTTCATCTCAATTAAGCCACATGCCCGTGATATGAACCCTGTGCAGAGGCTCAGATCGTGTACTACTCTGGTGAACGACATGACTGAAGATGGTTTTACATCTTTACCTCTGCAGATCCTGTCCCAGTGTCTCAGACCGGTCCTCCGGGAGCACTTCGTACAAGTCGTCTTCCTCCAGCTTGCGCTTGTATCCGGTGCGAAACAAAGGATTGAGCCACCTGAGGAGGAAACAGTCAGAGGAGTCGGGCGGGGAGAACAGTGCATTAAAACGTCTCATTTTTAATTCCTTTCAGATGATCAATTCCATATGGTGGTGTTGAGAGGAGACTTTAAAAACTGCGTGCGATTAATCAACACTTGGATGCATTAAAGGTTCCATCAACTCCTTGTGGACTCGGGAGGAAAAATGTTGAGGTCAACAACACAAGCAGTAAAAACTATTTACTAGTATGACGTAAGCATAAACAGCGTGTCCTCTGTGTTGTAAACAGTTACACCCGTGTCCATTTATCCTAAAACTCTGAATAACCAACGCAACGTATTCGGCAACACTCAACACTTCGGATGGTTACATCACAACGTTAAAAGTCACAACGTTAATTTTTTTTAGGAAAGCGCTGTATAAAAGTATAGTTATTATTTTAAGTATGACACGGTTCGAACAATAACAAACACAAACACAGCCCCCGTCACGCTGCGCCGGGAGCCGCTTCTCTTCGAATCGGCCGCTGACAGAAGCGGACCGCGGTCCCCGCGCGGCGGCGTCCGGTCGACTCACCAGAAGAACACTTTGGACAAAAGGCCCGCCGTCGCTGACGGGTTGGTCCTGGTGCCTTTGCTGACTTTTCCCATGGTGGCCCACACCGGCGAGGCGGCTTCCCACTTTTCCCCCGCAGCCGACACGGTGAGTCCGGGCTGCGTTGCGTAACTTGGCTTCGCCGCCGTTTCACATGTCTACCGGCGCTTTGGGCTCTTCAGGCACACGCGGTAACCGTTTCCGAGGAGGTGGTATTCGTCGAGAGGTCCCGCCCCGCGGGCTCCGGGATTGGCTGAGAGAAAGGGGTTAGCCCCTCTGCCGCGCTCACACGATTGGCTTAGAATATTGACCCCGGCGATTGGTTGGGATTTCATCAAAACCCAATTGTGATTAAAAAAACGTGGAGCAAAGTTTTCGGTCACATATTACAGCGTCAAAAGGGAGCCTGGTGAAGATAAAGGAATACATTATTTCTAGAGTTCTACTTCATAATTAATTGCAAAACCTTAAAGGAGATTGTCCCACAAGCAGGAGAGAATATGTTTTTAGGAGTTTAAAAATAAACATACAATCAGATTCACGAGTGAATTAAGACAATTGTCTAAAAAGGGGTATTCTTTTTTTATCCGTTATATTTCAAATGGGGCATTAAAGTGTGGAACCAATATACAAATCTGTTCTAGTTGTTTTATGACATTCAAAGAATACCTTTATGGTTCAAATTTTAGAGGGTTCAGCATTTACTGCAGCTCAAAGGTACCCGTGTAAACTTTCTATGGAGCGTGGGTCCTGCTTATCACAATGACTCGGCAGAATCTTTCCCACTTTCAACCCCCCTCACATGCACACACGCGCGCACACACACACATTTTCTAAATTGTATAAACTGAATGACTCAAGGATGCATCACTTTTGATAAAGAAAGCATGCGACTGACATATTATCATGGATTATTTGTTATTAGAATAAATTCTCATCATAACTGCTCCGTAGTAAGTAAAGTAACAGCATAACATCCCTACAAGATTATTTGTATTTGTTTTTTCCTATTTGGATCCACAAATTAAAAAGGCTGAAGCTAAAAATAAAGAGCAGGCTATTAATGACAGATGCCCTTTGGCACACTGTAGGCGTTAACTATACTGACAAAAACAGTGGTAAGACTATACAAAAAGGCCTTCCTTGCCTCACTGCATTAAACTCCCTTTACAATGTTCAAGGAAACGTTCAAATAAATCCAGTCACATGCACACAGGCTAAACTACAATCTTGGCATTGACTATCTAATGATAACAGAGTGGAGCGGCCCTGGCCCCAACACCTCGCGGGTTATCCTCCTGTTGATGTTTAGCTAGCACCGACTGGGAAAAGGGCTGAAGGAGAAAAGCCAGCAGGAGATTATCACAAGCAGCTGAACTCAGCCCAATAACATTCATCAACTGCAGGGGATCAACTGGCCTTTCCCATGCTTTTGCCATTCCTTTGATAGGCCTACTTATGAGCACAAAGGAAGAAGCACTCACATTGTTTAACTTAATTTGCTGTTGACAAGATGTAGGCTGTTAGAAGTTCCATTGTGCGAAAATGTAGTCAATTCAATTCATTTTATTTTGTATAGCCCAAAATCGCAAATTACAAATTTCCACAGAGGGCTTTACAGTCTGTACACATGCACGTGCAACATCCTCTGTCCTGAAACCCTCACATCGGCACAGAAAAGACTTCCAAAACATCAAAAACCCTTGCATGAGGGGAAAAAGGGAAGAAACTTTAGGGAGAACGTCAGAGGAGGGATCCCTCTCTCGGGACGGACTACAATGGATGTCATAGGTACAGATTGAACAATGTAAAATATATAGAATACATTCAATTCCTATAACAGAAATGATTCAAATAATGGCGAGTAGCAAGCCAGGTGTACGGCAACTGTCTTTACTTGGAAAGTATATGCAAAAAAGTATGTAAATGTCAAAAAATACAAAACAACAGGCCCAGCTGTCACAAATTAGGCCCCGTGGATGAATAAAGTATACGTCTATGTATTTACATCAGATAACAAGACAAAGGTAACAGGAGAGGTCAAGTGGTTTTCCTGAGCCGATGTGTGGGTTTCGGGACAGAAGATGTCACACGTGTACAGACTGTAAAGCCCTCTGAGGCAAATCTGTAATTTGCGATTTAGGTAGCAATCAACACAAGCTACAGCTGATGCTGAGAGTAGTTTATTCAACGTATTGGACAAATCACAGCTTTAAGTATTGAGAGTTCTAGAAGTTAGTTATTATAATACATTAACTCTATAGATTTGTTTAGGATTTATATGATCGGGTAGTTTTTTAAGCAACTTCTTTAGTGATGTTATGATCACACTTTGATTTGACCCTGCTTGGCTGAATTATAATTTTAACTAAAAGGTGGTTGATATAGATATTGCATACAAGAAGAATGCTTACGTCCTGTAATAACAATTAGGACAACTCCATTTTCATTGGCTGGAACAATGGAAAGGTTAAGATCATCATCGTATCACATTGTGTGCTGAATAGGATGACATCAGGTTTACACAGACAACAACCTGTTCCAGCTGGTTCCTTTTCATTAGCAGATTTATAGGATAGGGATCCCCTCTGAGATGGCCCAGCAACAGTGACCATGGTAACGCATTAAGGCATCAAATATCTAGAGATTTACCTAACGATGTTCTCAGCACCTTGCTGTCAATTGCACGCACTAAAAACACTTGTTCCAGGGGCGCTGGCGGCGGGAACACTGTACCTGTCTCTAATAATTCATTAGCACCTTGCTTGGCTGCCTCGTTCCGCTCAGAGGACTGGTTATTTTTTAAATTTTGAATTGTTACATTTTTAGATGAAGGTTCATTACGGCCTTTCAGTGTCGTATAGCTCAGAAATACGAACTGCTGTTTTCATTTTTGTTCTGTGGTTTGTTTCTGCTCATGTGATCACGTCGTCCTATTACAGAAACATTTTATCAAATCACACAGCAAACTGTTAAGACAACAAAGAGCCACAGCACGGAACAAAATATGAAAACAAACCCAGATAAAATAGAAAATAGATTAAATTCCCTAAGAACATCCATATAGCGTAAGACATTATTATATTGGAGTGTGGGGGGGGGGGGGATTGCTCCACTACATTCATTAAACACTCGTAATTACGTTCGTATTTACTTTCGACTAGACATCACAGATTACAGAAAAACTGATAAGACTCAAATAATTCTGAGGGCTTTTTTAGAAGTGTGCTTCATTTTATGGAGCATTTTAAAAAAAAGTATGTTCTTATTTTTTAATTCTGGTGTGATTATTTCCTTTCAATTTTGGATCATTGCAGAAAATAAGCTTTGTTGCCAACACAAGTTTGTAATATTTTTGTTCAGTGAGATAATCTTGTTTTAGGAACAAACAACCACACAATGTTCCCATGATAGCAAGTATACACAACCAGGCTGTGAAGCCACTTGTTAGTGACATTCTTTTTAAACACGCATATGCCTCAACGTTTTCGAGAGGGGTATTTACATTACATGACATTTTTGTGTCAAAAGAAACAGAACTTGAGGTGTAAATTAAAAAAAAACATTCCTTCAAAATGGGGAACCGAAAGTGCAAGAATGCCGACTCATTTCTGTGTTTTGAGACGTATTCCAGCCACACAACGGATGTCAGTCTTCTTTAGGAACTTTATATTCACTAGAAAACTTAAGGTGCTAAAACCTTCAGCTCCTTTCAGACCAACTAAGTGGGCCAAACCCCCGAAGCGTTTGCATTTAGCAAGGGAGTGTTTTATTTCTTTGCAATATATAATAAAAAAAGTGATAATTTAACGTTTTAGTTTTAACACATGTAATATAAGTGCATGAAAATACACGAGCGCACAAGCAGCGGTGGTGAAATGCATGGAAAATGTTACAGATAGATGTTTAAATATCCAGCCTTTGTTACATCAACTGGTAGCAGCACAAAAGTCAACTAGGCCAAAGCTACTGAAACAAACAAACATTGTAGTAGCAGTAGTGAGACAGGGCATGATGCTACCACGCCAATGCTAAGCTGCGCTTTACTTCACAAGGATCCGTGTACCTTTTAATAGTTCTTTTTTGTTTAGAAGCAAAAAACTAAAGAAACCGCAGACTTTCGGTCCGTGTACCTTTTGATACACAGTTGACTGTAAATAAATCTATGGTTTAAATACAAGTATTCTGCCATCTACTGGTGGAGATGTGACCTTGTTTACTTTTGTTCTGCTCAACTGTCTGCTCTGCCTTCTCTGACGCAACACAATATGTGGAAAATAAATATCTTCAGTGGAGGCTGGTCTATAGAGGGCAATGAGGCGTGGCCCCACCATGAGCAAATAAAATATATATATATATATATATATATATATATATATATATATATACATACATTTTTTTAATTATATTAAAAATACATTTTACAAACAGTCAATATTTGTGTTTTTGAAATGTGGATTATATACCCGGTAATATTTGTAAATTAATATCTGCGCAAGATGTATGCTTTTCCTGCACGTTCTCTCTGCTTGTCTAAATGTTGTGTCAATATTGTATTTTTTTATTGTATTTTATATATATATTCATTGACATACTGAATTGTTTGACTAAGATGTCCCTATTATGTTAAACTGTTGGAATAAATGTTAAATATTTAACTGCAAAGTAATAATTCATGTTTGATACCCTTTTTTGCATTGAATGATATTGAGATGTTTACTGAAACTGATTGGCAGCATGGCCCTACCAAAAAAAATCCACCAGCCGCCACTGAATATATATATCTATCAGTTGGATTAAACTATAGTTTTAACTACATTATTAGCTATAAAATAACAGTATGGAATCATAGTTGCATTGCTTTCTCTTTTAAAGTCCTGCTTCTGGTTTTCCAAATTGTAGTTCAGCGCCGCAATGAGAATCCACACAGAGCTGAGACGAAAAAACACACTCATTCATTGGGTCAATCCATCACACTGAACTCTCCCATCTCTGCTTCTCATCTAGTGTTCCTTCAGTCACAGACTTTTCAGATCCTTTCAATTAAGGACTTCTCCTGCGGATCTTCTTGCAGACCCTACGCACACCGTGTGGAGTGATGACTCACCACACACGCGCACACACAGAGCAACCAATTGTGTGTCCGCAAATGACATGCACTATAAAAGTTTCAGCTTTCCGACGTAGATGCTTGGCAAGTGGACAGGAGGCAGAACTCTCAAGGACGGCCAACGCTGACGCACCTCTCCCCAGGGGCCGTCCCACCTGCGCTCCTGAGGGGAAAGAGCTGTCCCAGTGGGGACCAAGCCTCCACAGGAGGGGGTGGGAGGTGGTTGGGAGAGGGTGTTAAAAAGAAAAATGGGCAACATGGCAACAGAGATCGTTGCCTTCGTCCTGACAATCTCCGGGTGGATCTTGGTGTCCTCCACCCTGCCGATAGACTACTGGAAGGTGTCGTCTGTGGACGGGACGGTCATCACCACGGCTACATTCTGGTCTAACCTGTGGAAAACGTGTGTGACCGACTCCACCGGCGTGTCCAACTGCAAGGACTTCCCTTCAATGCTGGCGCTGGACGGTGAGTCGGGAGGTGACTGTGGGCGAAGTCGTGTTTTTTTAGGTCATCTGACCAAATTTATATTTCTTCAGTTCTATTGAAGCTTGAAAACAACTTGTCTTTCCTGGATGAATGACCACCATTGAGTTTAGGAAGTTGATCATTCCTTTTTGACTTTAGGCCACAAACAGCCACAACGTTTAAAGCTAAAGGTCACTAGAGGCATATTTGAGTGGATGAGCTGAGCTGAGCTGGACTGATGCAGCCTCCTAATGTGTCCAATTTAAGCAATCGTAGAAAGTCATAGTCATGCAAAGGTTGCTTGCGTCTCTTGTCTACTTTTTTCCAATAACAACACAACAATAAGGAAAGGCATTGCTTGTACATGCTATCATTCTAATGTCTTGACGTTTAAACTGTTTAAAAATAGTTTTAAAGTGACCACTTCTTATCTGTTATCGCTGACTGCTGAGAAAAGAAAATGTATCTCATTTAAACTCCTTTGAACGTCCTTTTAACAACACGTCCTTGGTCTTAAGTGACAGTCTCCAAAAGTTTCCATGGAGAATCTGACGCGTCACAGGATGACAAAAAAAAAAAAAGGGAAACGTTTTTTTTCAAGATTTCTATTTAGTGCTGAGATTTTAAGATTGATAGTACCTTCAATTGGCTGATAAATATAGTATTAATATGGAGTATTTATGCTCAGCAAAACTAACCTGTTCCTAGCCATAGATTCCCATTTAGCTTGTTGACATGCCAGTGTAATCAGAATCAGAATCCAAAGTAATTTATTGCCTCCTTACACAGTGGAATTTGTAAGGAGGCAACAAAGATGGAGTAAGTTTCTAACTTGGAACTTCTCCTTTAAAGTACATGAAATACTTAAAAACCAACCTAAAAAAAATGTTTAAAATAAGTGCATTTCCATTGTCTAGGATCAACTAGTTTAAAATCACGTTCCCCGCTTCTCTGTCTCTCTCACGAAGCCTACATCCAGGTGTGTCGGGGTCTGATGATCGCCTCCGTGTGTCTGGGGTTCTTTGGTGCCGTCTTGGCCTTGGTAGGAATGAAGTGCACGAAAATAGGAGGCTCAGAGACCACCAAGGCTCGTCTGACCGTCGGCTCGGGCTTCCACTTTGTCCTCAGCGGTACAGACCCATGAAACTGAGCTGCATTTTAGGAAGCTGTTCACCTTTGGGCTCATTCAGTGTTCAAGACACAACCAGCTCTTTCTGCTTTGATTTCAGTCCAATTCGGGAGTAGAAATCCCCCTTGATTCTCTCCGCAGGCCTCTGCTGCATGACTGCGTGCTCCATATATGCTCACAGGATCACGACAGACTTCTTTGACCCCCTCTTTGTTGCCCAGAAGTAAGTATTCAAGATTAACATTCAGATGAAAGGAAGACCAGTCATACATTTCCTCTTGTTTTTTGTCCCCCCCCCACCACCTCCCCGCACACCTCAACCTCTCCAGGTTTGAGCTGGGAGCGGCTCTCTTCATCGGCTGGGCTGGATCCGTGCTGTGTATCCTCGGGGGACTTATCTTCTGCTTCTCCATGCCCGAGGGCTCCAGTGCCAGGCGAGTTGCTGGGTATTTCTTACGAGGCTTGATGCTCACGTTGTGAGTCCACGTCTGTCACCGGCAACATGGGGCTTAGAGGAAATCTGATTTGGACCGACTCTCCAACGCAAACTAAATCGGGCAATTTAAATGAGGACTTTAACTGAAACGGAGAGACGACTACAGCCGAAGACATCCAGTAATCTCTCTCAACATCTTATGTCATAATTGCCGAGCCAACAGGGAAGGTTGTGTGATCGTCATTTCGATTAGTAATGTTGATGATGAATGTTTCCTTTGTTACAGTTGAGCAATAAGGACCTTTTTCCAAGTGAAAGTCACCTTGGCATTTTTATAACTCGAGCCTGCATGTCCTTTCATAGGCTAAAAAGACAGAAAACTAAAGGGGCACAGAAATGAGGGACAATATAAAGAAATATTTAGCAGGATTTGGTCTCAGGCCTACAAGTATACTTGGCTGATCACTTTCTCATGGCAGCAAACTTTAAATATGGTCTAAATTCTTGGTTCTACGGAAATTTTTGGGATAACATGTAAACATCATGTCGACTCTAGCATTTAGCTGGGCACAGAGAGCTGCTAGGAGAGCTGTAACAAATAATTTAATATAAACACACCTCTATTTATTTTTTAAATTTATCCAACATGTCTTTGGATTCATCTTGCGACCCCTACTTGGTGTCCCGACCCCTAGGTTGGGAACCCCCTCTTTCCCACACTGAAATCGAAGTGTGCCTCACAGTTAATATAATTTTTTATTGTTAGAGCTCGTCAAATCAAATTAAAGATATTCCACTGACAATGTAGAAATTATAAGATTGATAAACTATTGCTTTGAGAAAATAACTCTGAATATAGGTATTGTGTGTGGTTATTTATTTTGAAAAGAAAATCATTTAGAAATGTGCAAACAAAAGGTTTGTGCAAATTTGAAACACAACATTCGTAACTAAGCAGAATTTTACTGTTATCTTCTTGAGGGTTCAGCGTGTCTTATTATCTACCAAGAACATTTTAAAATAACTATTCTATTGTAAAATTTGAGGGTTTTGTAGGGCTTCATTTCTTGTCCCTTATTTGTGGTTGTCCCTCTACAGAGCCGAGTACTCGTGCGCCGGAGCAGCATCGTTTGTGACGGCACCCAACAAGTGCAGAAAGACAGTCAACGGCCTTCAGAAGGAACCGGGGCAGTCGGGCCGGCAGTTTGGAAGAAACGCATATGTCTGAGACGTAAAAATAGTGTCCACAGAGTGTGTCAATTGACAAATTCAGCTTATCCAAAATTGTCAGATTCAACTATAAATATGGCTACTTTTTTCTGTGAAAGATTTTTTTTTTTTTTTTAGGGCACAAAACCGCATTCAAACTCTCTGGTCATCAAGGGCGAGGTGGCGCACGGGTAGAGAGGGTGCGCTGGTTCAAGTCCCGCATGCCCCATGTCCAAGTGTCCCTGAGCAAGACGCCTAACCCCCAATTGCTCCCCGGGCAAAAATGTAAAATGCCATGGGTTAAAAATGCGATGTAAGTCGCTTTGGATAAAAGCGTCAGCTGAATGACCTGTAATGTAATGTAATCTTCCCTGAGCTGGCCTTTCCTGAGACATATTTAATATATATACATTTCATAACAGTTTAAGTGAAGTGCATTTAAGATAATTTTCTGTTTTCTGATCATTTCATTTAAAGCAGTTCTGTTTTTTACACTACTTGTGACAGTCTAAGCATGCTAGTAATCACAAAAAATACATTGCTTTTAAAAACCTGTGTAGCTGGGATGTGATTCACTCTTCGCTCACTGCTGTCGCTTTAAGAAAATAGGGGACAGAACCAAACCCTGACCCTTTCTCAATGGGTCTGTGCCCACACTGATCCAACCTCCGAGGGTCACCAGGTCACGTCTGATCCCCGCTCTAAGCCTCCCCCCCCCCACACCCCTCGGGGAGCCCCTGTGCTTTCTAGCGCTTTACATCCATCAACAAGTGTCAGGTGTCCCAGACTCTGCACAACCCTTTTCTGGTATAATGGTGGTATAGTCCAACGTCCGCATCACGTGAAGGGATGCTGAAACCCGCAAACGCTGTGCATCAAACCTTTTTTTTTAAATGGACGCTTGCAAAAGCTGTATTATTGTTAATTTCGAGCTATTATCGCGAAGCAGTTACTAAGAATCATTAGAAGCCCATCAAGCGTAATCATCTAATAATTTCTAATTTATCTCTGGAATGTCTTTAGTGCATTCTAACGCTGATAAACTAAAATGAAATGACATGAACTGTGAAGCACCCTTTGATTACAGTGTGTTCCTCTCAAAGAGGTGGGTCCAAACCTGGGGGTCGGGATCACAAAAATCCTCCGCCGATTGCCTTGGAAGTATATATGAAGAATACACTTTTGTTGTGCTTAAATCTCAAATGATATCTATAATAAATGCCAGTTAATGCACATCTGTGCTGACATCAGCATGTGTTTAGCAGGTGCAACGAGCGGTTCAGGGCGTCAGCGTCAAACACAAAGTGCCGATGAGGCTGATGGGAATGTCGTCAGGTGTTAACCAACATGTGGGACAAAATAAAATTTTGACCTGGTGATGGAGCTAAAAGAAATGGTAAAAGAATCATGCAAGTTTTTAGAACTCATCTTGAGGGAGACTTTTAACGTGTAAACGTAAACATTTAGTTGGTTATTTTGTGTATTCCTCCGTAACTTTTTCTCTTGTGAAATACTGTATAGTATTACAAAGAAAAGCATGGAATGCATGAACTGTAATCAATGATATTATGAAATGAAACGCTTGCCTAATATGTTGACTGTATCATTGAAAAAGTGTTCAAATAAAACAAGTTTGGCAAAACTCCACTGCTTTGCATAAAGGGGAACCAAGAGAGTTTAGAAACCACTGAACAATAAAGGACGTCTGAAGGGAACAGAGCCAATACTGAAATCACACCACCAGAGAGCAGCATGAATACATTAAATAGTTAAATGGTGTCCTTATTTGTTGCATCTTTCTTTCATCTTGCAGCTCCGGTCACATAAGCATCCCTTTGTTCAATCCCCCACCCCAGTGCCATGCAAAGTAAAGCCACCCTCACCGAACACATCAGCCGCCGTTTCCAATAACACCACCTACCTACCAATTACTTTGTGGTAAGCCGAAAGGACCGAGAAACAAAGAGGAGCCCTTTCATCGGCGCCCAACAATCATCACTCTCCCCGACTCTCATTTCCTCAGATTTAACTCTAATTAGAACCTGAGCAAAGACGGCAGTTTAATAAGTAAAATGACTAATAACCAGCAGCTTAAAAGCCAGAGTTGAGAATGATGTTTCGAGCAGCTCGGGTCATAGCAGCAGTGAGATTACATATTTCATGGACCACGTAGAGGTCACTGACGGACAAATGTACTTTTGAACGCTTGGTTAAATCTGGTCATATGTGCAATAAATATATTAACATGTAGATTTTAGCACATAAACTCAACAGATGAGTCATCAATTAATTTAAGTGCTGTTGATTGTTTCAAAGACAGTGAAATAAAAAAACATTCATATTCATACGTTCAGATATCTGTTGTTAAAAGCCCAAATATTTTGAATTTATTCCGACCCGTCCGTCTCTTATTATGACTCTTTATGAAGGGACATGTACTTAACTGTATTAGATCAAATGTAAATGTGGGCCCTCGCCCATCACATAAAACATAGGTAGTATATTGTCCAATAAAGCAGGAGGTGGAGGTGTGGGTGGAGTCCAACAGTCGTCAATAGCCCCCTTACTCATTGTAGATCGGTATCCTCAAAACCACACCCACCCAATAAAAGATTCAGGATTTGATTTTAGGTCATCTTTTAACAAAGCGTTACAATTTCACTGTAAATGTCACATGGCTCAAAGTAAAGCCACTCCCACTTTGACGTTAGTGGCAGTCATAGCCACTTTACAGCCGATGATGTCATCTAAGCTCAGGCTTCATTTGAGCCTTTTTGGACGTGAGCTCACCCACTGGCGACGTGGTGTGGGCATTTAGGAGGGTTTTCTCTTTCTAGTGTTTGAGTGTGAAAGTCAGGCCATGTCAGCCTTTACAGCTTTAATTTGGCCCGTTCTTTTTTCAATCTGTCTGTTCGTGATATATTAATTTGACCATATCATTGAGTTCTTAGATCGTAGTAATTCCAGTATTTTTACCCTTTTGCATTTGTAAGTTTAAGTGAAATTACTGGAGAAAACTATTCGTTGTGAATTCATAGCTGGTGTAGGAGCCAGGTATTGTTGGTGCCACCTGGTACGCCCCTTTTCTTGTCTTTACGTTAATTGAGTCACATGGTGTTTGGCATCATTGGGGATAGCTGTGTCTTCAAAGTTTGGTTAGGGAAATGGAAAGAGAGGGGGGAAGAGACAGAGTTTTATATTGACCGCAAAAACTATGAAGTATTGTACACTGATGCTTGATTCATTGTATAATATACCTAAATAAAAACAAGAAGAATGCAGTTAATGGATCCTGAATTCATTGAAGGAAGCGTGTCCGCAAGTTATCTCCCCTACTCAGCCTCTCGGTGACACTGAACAAATCACGTCACCGACACCTGGTTCGATGCCGCAAACAGACCTTGCCTCTTTTGAACTGTCTGTACGCGAGGGAAACGAAGCAAGGTGCTGCTTCAGTAATGAATGCTAACTTCACAACTCCCAACTGACGCCCATGGGAACCTGAGGAACGGTCGTCTCTCACCCACACGTAGAGCTTACATGTAGAGAATACTTGCAACCCAACAGCACCAGCCACCTGTTCTGTACCTGGGATCCTTTTGGGTTTTTTTCCTGGGACGAGCAGCGGCTTCCTCGTCTCATTCGGCTCCCTGCACGCGTCCTTCTGCGCGGAACCAATAAGAGGACGGACGAGAAAGAGCATTCTGACATCAGACAAGTGGTCACGTTAGAAACGGACGCGTCTATGGGGCGTCGTTTGTAAAATGTTGCACGTTCTAACATCTTGCGCAGTTTTGGTACATTTAGCATTATCATATGAAAAAAAAACACGACAATATTCATGTCACTTTTTCAAACATTTATAGAGAAATTCATGTGAATTCATGCAATAACATTTCCAAGCACAATGTTTGGCAGTAACACAAAGTTGTTAAATAATATGAATGTTAAATGTAAATCTAAATGTAAACCTAAATGTTAAATGTTCACTCTGCATGTCAGACTTGACGACTGAACATTACAATACT